CTCCGCCCCCGCATTCGGCCAGAAATTCCAGTTAATAGAGTATTTCGGATTTTACTGCATCTCTGAACTGGTAGTGGGAATCATGTAAACATTTACGTTATTTGTAACTGAATGCAACAGTACATTTCTACCCAAAAATATTTGGCTCTGCAAAATCTATTTAAAAAAAAACAAAAAAGTAAGTACATGCTCCTGATGCCTTGATCATCTAAGGAAGAATGCTATGGCATGTGCAATGAAGTTGGGCTACGTTGCTTTCATCCAGTCTCCTCTTGCTGTTGTTGTTGTTGTTTATTTTTTTCAGAATTGGGGAGAGACGTATTTTCCTTCCCATCATGGGAGGAGAAAGGGCAGTGACTACTTTTGTAGCAGGTGCTTTTTGAAAATCTAGTCTACTCTGATAAAGAGAAAAAGTGTTCCATATTCCCAAGTCCTGTAGTATCATGATACTGAAATGAGATTTTTCATCAGTCTGTCATGCAAGCAGAGTTTAATTATGATATACATAAATGTCCTATGAAATTAGAACAATCAACATATAAGTCAAGAAGGGAGGAAAACTACTGCTAGTTCATGACTGTGGAATAGTAAAACAAAACAACCAAACTACCATCAACAAAAATTGTTCTACTGCAAGACTTACGGCTATCATAGCATATGTTGCCCAGGGCACGTCCTGTTTGTAGCAGCACTTCCTGGTCTTTGCAATTTAAGAGCTGCACCAGTGGAGGGATCAGCCCAGCATCCACACATGGGTTCCGCATAAACTCTGCAAACAGGAGAGAGAGATTTTAAAGTCTAGTGTTATGGGTTTGAATCTTTGAAGTTGGTTTAGAAATCTTCCTCCATCATGTGTCTGTCTTTAACAGACTTTAATTTTAAGCAGGGTTTGCAGCTCTTTCATTGTATGAGAATAAATTAATGCATGGTGAAACAATCTGTTTCTTGAAAAGAAAAAGAAAACTTCTTGAGAACATGCTCAAATTCAACATTCTGACTACATTTCTTCTGCTGCTCATTAATTTACCAGGAATCAAGCAGATATAATTTACTTTCTTGCAAACTAATTTAACATCCTCCCAACCGATCACTAAGCATGTTTGAGGAATAATAATAAAAGCAGGAAAAAACATAATATTGGCAACAATGATTCTCTGGCTTGCTAATTAAATGAAATTTAAACCACTGAATTGCACAAGAGCAGATCTAAGACCACAGCATTCATCCTCCAAACTGAACAGCTTTATCTGTTTTGCTATATTATCTTAATTAAATGAAAACAGAAATAGAAGCCAATTTCAAAACACCTGAAAAGCTGTTACTATAAAAATTAAATACAGGGATTGAAGACTGAACAGCAGGTTCATGGCAGGAAGTCTAAAAAAAGTGAGAAGAGGGAGAATTAGAGAAGCAAAAGAAGCTACTTTAGCCCAGTGACTTAAGATAAATTTCCACGGACCAACTGGCCAAATAGGGAGTGGGGGGCAGAGGATTAAAGTACAGGCAGTCTTTGATTTGTAACGTTTCGAGTTACAACGTTTATAAATTGACACCCTGTTTCAACTTTATGACATCAGTTTCGACTTTACAATGCTTGATCCAATGTGAAGCCATGTCAGCGAACAAGTTCGCTGTCGTTCATCTCATCTGTCCAAACTTCCTTGGACACTTTCTTTAAGAAAACAGACAAGACTCCAGAAAAATCTGTAGCCAAGACTCCTGAGAAGACTCTAGCCAAGAATCCTTCAAAAAGTCCAACCAAGAGCCTTTCAAAAAGTCCAGCAAAGTCGCATCAAAGAAGTCCTTCCAAATCAATATGATTGCTATTTACAATATAAATACATTAATGTAGCTATATTACTCATCTATAATCGATTGAGTACAAAATTCTGGGGTATTTTTGGTGAAAATAGGGTATCAGGCCTTGGTTCAGGAATCAATCCCCCATTTATAACATTGTTTCTTATGAGAAAATTAGTTCCAAGTTATAACGTTTCAACTTAAGATGCGGTTTTCAGGAACCATTGTGTTGTAAGTCTGTGGACTGCCTGTACTGGAAAATAATCTCTTGAAATGTTTTTCCCAAACCTCTTCACCTCTTAATTTTTCAGACCTCTTGAAGTAGAACGAGCCAGAATATACAATTTTCTTAGGGAGGAACGGGGGGAGGAAACTGTCAGCCTTTTTAGTTATAGGATCTGTATCAATTACTTCCCTAATAGTGATTCCAGGAACCCAAAGATGCATAATACATATTGTCTACATGAAACAGTCTGCATATTCCATACATCCAAAGTAATAAGCAAATCTTTATACAGTGGTCCTTGAAGTATTTCCACATCTAAAGTCCCATACTGGTCACAAGTAGTCTGAAGTGTAAATTTTTCTTAACATTAACACAGATTTAACTCCCCACTGGGGGTTTCTTGTATAGATAAAGATACATGGTAGTCTTAAAAATAACAGTACACTTGTATAGATGACACAAACAACAGCCTTTCTTACCCTCTGTCCCTCAAATAACCCAGTGTTTTAAAACGTTACATAATTGCTCTGATAGGATGAACAGAGTGGGCCTACGGGTCTAACGTCAGTATTGTTGTATGATCTTTTACGCCATTGCTGTTCCCCCTTTTAATCCTACTTTCTGCTCCAGCCCAGTTTTCTTCACTACTTCTTTTCTTCCCCCTCCTCTCCTTCTCTCTCTGCCTCATGACATCATGACAGAAAATGAGAGAGCATAACAATGGAGTTAAGCAAGAAAGGGGTTTGAGAGTGAAGATCAAGTGTATGTTTAATCCAAAAGGGAAACTGGCAAGGCAGTGGTGTGATACACCACAAGAGGGCTTAATGCCTGAGGCAATGGGCTATGAGAATTATCTCTACAGCGGTATTCTGAATGGGTTATGAGTGGGGCAACACTACCTTTGTTAATATGATAGCTAAAGATGTTGCAATAGTTGAGATGTGATAAGAATTTTAGCTTTGCAGATGGAGAGAAGAGATCATACCTTAAAGACATTATGCCAAAAAATTTACAAAATTTAGAACAGCGTAGATGAGAGGACATAAAGAGAAGTCACCAAAAATAACATTTAGGGTATGGGCCAGGCAGGTTGATTGTGTGGTATATAGCAATCAAGATAGATAGTAGAGGGAAGGTGTGAAGAAGAGAAAGAGCTGTTTTAATTACCTGGGGCTTGAGTTGACAGCCAGACACCCCTAAGGAGATGTCAGATAAACATCTCAGTATAGAGATGGTAGTTGGTTTCATATTTTCAGTGGAGATGACTCTGAGATAAAGGGGGAAGAGAAGGAGACCAAGGAAAGTTCCTTGTGGAACCTCCACAGAAAGTTGAAGGATGGATGAGGAGCAGACAGAGAGAGAAAGAGAGGAGGAGGAGGATGAGAAGACAAATTTACAGACCTCATGCTAGGACAAGAGGAAGAACATGGTTGATGAGAAGGCAGTGAGACAGGTCAAAAAGGATATGAATGGAAGTCTGATGCTGAGATATGGCTAAGAGGAGGTCATTAGTAACTTTAGTGAGAGAGGTTTTACTGAACTGCCCAGAGTGGAGGACAAGTTACATCTGGATGGAACTGGAGTAGAAGAACTGCAAGGAGCAACTGCAAAGAATATGTTCAATCACCTTAAAAATGAAAGAGATATAGAGTTATAGTTGGGGAGGAAAGAGTCGACAAAGATAGTGAC